CTGAGGCCGTGCTCTCTCCCCTGTCAACCTGAGGTGCCTTCATGAATAATTTAAATGACCCCCCGAACTGGAACATCTTGCCGAATCAACGAGAGCCCGGGGATGAAGGCAGCAAATGGAACTACGCCTTGCTGGTCCCCATGCTGGGCTTGGCCGCCTTCCGTAAGTAGCGCCCGGGCGGGCCTCTGCGCTGGAGCAGCCTGAGGCCGAACAGTGACACAGTCACATCCCGCCCAGGGGCTTCCCCTGGCCTGCGCGTTTATAATGTTGTAAACAGCGGGCACTGCTCATAACATCGAGGCAACGGCCACTGTTTGCCATGGAGGTGGATCCTTATTTGATAAGCCCCAGTTTACAAAGCTATCTCGGAGGAGTGTACATACAGTGTGCTAGAGAGCCCAAAGGTAACAACTGAAGGAGCTGTTGTGTATTTATTTACTGAGCCTAAAAAGTGCCTGCATTAGAAACTTCCAGTTTGTTTCCCCATAGCTTTATTTTCCTCCTTTAATCCAAGAAGTATAGAGTAGGGGAGATTTTACTTCAAAAGAAACATGACTGTTTAAAGTGACTTACTGTGACCCACAAAAGTACATTTTCAGGGGGCCGGTTAGCTCAGTGGGTTGAGCGCGGTGCTGACAACAAAGACAACACTGAGGTCTCAGGTTCGATTCCCACTTGGTCCCCATGTGTTGCCTGGTCTAGTTGAGAGGCATCCCTGCCCATGACAGGGAGGTTGGATTAAATGATCTCTAAGGTCCCTTCCAACCTAGGCCATTCTATGATTCTATGATTTCTGGGGTATGTGACTAGGGGTGAATATCACTGGGGAGGGCAGGAAAAGTTTTTTACCACTTCATAGCTTCTTCAGAGGCATAGTTAATTAATCATATCCATCAGTGTTATATATGTTATGCTGATATCTGAAGTCTCATTTATATCTGATAGGTTGGATCTGGACCAGAGAATGTCAAAAAGAAATAGAAAGAGAAAAAAAAGAATATTATAAGAAACATTCATCTTTACAAAAGGACCTGGAAGCCAAATACCGGGATATAATCACAGAAAATCGTCGCACGGTTGCTCATTTGGAGTTGGAGCTCGAAAAGGAACGCAACAGAACCCTGAGTTACCGTGAAGCCCTTGTGTCCCAGAGTCGTAAACTAGTAGAAGAAAGAAGGATTCTAGAACAGGAGCAGGAGAAGTTAGAGCAAGAGAAACAAATCCTTTTGCACTCGGGAGCAGCAGGTAACTTGTACCGAAGTTGTTTGGCAAAGGAAGAAGAGTGGCAAAAGAGAGCCAGTATTTTACTAAAAGAATTTGAAGAGGGACTTAAAGAAAGACAGGACATCTACTGCAGTCTTGTTGTACCCAGAAGCCAGAGACTAGAAATAGAGAAAAACCTGCTAGTTAAAGCAGCAACTGATCCTGTTGCCATGGCTCTACACATGGAAAGTGGCTTAAAAGATATTTTCAAACATGATAACTACTGTGGCAATCTGCTGAACAGAAACAAAACTCAGAATGGAAAACTTATGTGGCTGTATCTGAGATACTGGGAACTAGCTATTGAACTACAGAAGTTCAAGAGGGCAGAAAAGGCCATGTTAGGAAAACGCTAAGTAGGGGAAATATCCACCATGCGTAATGGGGACAATCACAGTTGTAGTCTGAAGCTGTTAAATTCTCCTGCTGTGTTTCCATTTCTCTTTCTTGTTGCACTTATATTTGCATGCGACATGCGCAGTGTTGGTGCCTTTCCTTTCACTGTCTAACAACAGATTCTCCGGTGAGCTATGCACACTATTAAACTCTGTGAGGGTGTTTGTATTGCAGACTGCAGTGTAGTGTAGAGATATGCCAGCTTCCATAGGTATGAGAAGCAGAAAAACAGAACTCCTTTCCGAGTGGTTTACCTGGTTGATGGTCATACTCCATCAACAGAGAAGTGTGATTTGTCGCCCGAAGCAGGGTAGCGTGTTGTGCTCCTTATCCCCGATGGTTTACGTCACGTCTCAACCGTATCTTTTCCTTTTTTTTCAAATGTTTTTAGGTTCATTTTTTAAGCAAGACTGATTTTAAGACACGTTTGGAAGTGACCATGTTTGAGCAAGCTGCTTGCTACATAAATCCTGCATGTATATATGTACATTTATGTAAACATACATATGTGTGAATGTGTATGTATAAATGTATTAGTATTCTGAGGGGGTATAGTATGATCACATTTCAGATTAGTCAGTCTTGCACTGTCTTCTAGCTTAATATACAAATCGTACTTTATGAGTGAAGCACCCAAAAGATACTAATTGATAGAACCATAGTAATTAAAATAACGCATAAAGAAACAGGTTGATGAAAGTCTCATTGGAGATAGGGATCCATGCCTGAATACTAGAGAGAGTGTAAACTCCATAGGATATTCTATATTTCCATCATACTGGGGATATGTTAAGAACGCTTTTCTTTTTTTTCCCCAGTCGAGTTGTTAGGTGTAACCCAGCAGTGTGCCTCAGTTCTAGCTGTGACCATGCCTCTGCCGCTGCACCCCAGCACACTGGCTGCTACTCAGCTAGCTTGCAGGAACCTCCATGGGTTACAGCCATTGCACCTGGCTTTGTTCATTGGACAGATCCTGTTTGTTTTTTCTGGAGACAGGAACCTAAATGGAACCTGCACTGGTGCCACTACTTCCCTCTCTGACTATCTCAGTTCAACCAGAACTGAAGTGTCCTTTTCCACAACATCCTGTGGTTCACAGCTGTACATACACATGACCATGAAAGCCTACAAATATACAAGATCTATAAACTTTTAAGAATGGTTTTTGTTTTTTTTTTTTAAAATTAGTTAGGGATAAAATAAACTGTTCTAAATTAAAAAAAAAAAAAAAAAGGCAAACCCCAGTGCACTTCCATGCCTGAGATACCTTAAAACTTAACCTATTCTTTGGGTCCTTGTGACAGTAGGAATCACTGTCTTTTTCAAACGTACCATGCATTTGAGGGAATAACTCTTTTTTCATCCTCCTTTCTAATCCAGCCCTAGACCTCAGAGGGGCAGTGTTTACCCTCTTGTTTATAGCATCTAGTCATCTCTGACTTCAATTACTGTTGGTAGGTTGTCAGTTCTTTAATTAGCAGTTCTTTATTTGCTCAGGGCTAGACTTGACAAACATGTTTGCTTTAGGTAATCAGCTACTGCATGTGTTGGAAGCAATCCAGCTAAGCAAATGCCTGTTGAAGGTTAACGGCTCCAGTAGGTATGTGGGTTTCTCTTATTTCCTCCTGATTTCATTTCAGTCTGGGCACAGAGGAAAGCAGATAAATCTTCTGAGGTAGAGCAGGCAACCTAATCCAGTTACTCAGCAAAAATATCTAACATGAAAAAGAATTCTTAAACAGAATACACGTTTCTCAACTGCTCAGTTTTCCAGTTGGGATTTTGCTGACCTTGGTGGTGCTAATTATACTGTTGTATTGATTTATTAGTCTCCTACATACTACTTTTTCGGGAAAAAAAAGTTGTAGTAGATGGGCATAGCAAAAAAAAGAGATACCATCACAAACACTAGAAAGGCCAAAGTTTGGATGCCAAGCGTTCACTGTTTGGGAAATGAGAATACAAATGAGTTACTTCTCCTGTGTGACAGCCTGAGCCAAGCAGATGTAGCTGGCCATATGCATGTGCCCTACTTTCCCAGCTGAACAAATTATAACCCCGTGTGTAATTCCTTCAGGATGCAGAAAGTTTCTATCCACATGGCTGTGGCACATCTCATACATGCGTTAAGCAACTCAGCTGACAGGCAGCAGCTGGTGAATCAATGCCTGTGGATTTGAGATTCATGCCTTGAATTTGTACATATCCATTAGTTCTTGGTATTGAAAGATCAAATGTATTATGCATTTTCATTTTTTCCACAGCTTGTCACTGACACCACTCAGAATGTTTAAAGAAAACAATCAAGAGGGTAAAATACTTTTTTTGATATAAATATGTAAGTTGAAGCATCATATGCTCGATTGTACAGGGTTGGATGCAATGCAATAAGTGATACTCACTTTCACTTTTTTTAGAAGCGTCAGTTATTTGTACAAGTAATTGTTGAGGGAGATTTTGCAGATCACTATATTAAGAGCTATTTGAGGAGCATTTCTGAGAGTAACTAGCTTGGAACACCAGTCCTGTTAGCCTCTATCAAAACACATGTTTGTTGGTGTGTTAAGTATTTTCGAAACACTCCCCCTGTGTAGGTTGTCACGTTGAGAGTTCTATTATGAGCTTTATCTTGCCCAACAGCTGTTATTCTGGATCTGTTATTTGTTTGGAAATGCCCATATAGAATGCAAAAATAATTAGTTTTCAGAGTATTTAATGAACTTTGTCATGAATATGGTCACTCACCTGTTAAACAATAACTATTAATAAAAACCCTTACATATTTCTGCACTGTTTTGTAACTTGGACAAGGTGGATGAAGTCAAATTTGCTTATTTATTCTAGCTTTCCAAGAAAATTGCACAATTTTAAGGTTTTAAAAATAGGACAATTTTTGAATTGGCACATAAAAGGTTTTGGTGCTGACAAGAGAATATGTTTTGGAAGTTTTTCTTTCTTAAGAACAGCATTGTTGAACAGTTAAGTGCACCAGCTTTAACTAAAGATGGCTGATTAAAGGTGACCATCCCACTGAAAGACTGGGGTAATTCCTTCTGCTGCAAAGGGTATTCTGCCATCCTCCAGAATCCCTCAGATGTCTCATTCTGCAGTCAGCTCCTTTTTGTGCCCCTGTGTGGATTTTCACATCAACGTGCTCTCTCTGAAGAACTACAGTCCAGCTGCTCTAGGACATTATTCAGACACTCTGGACACCCTTGTTCCCTTAATCTCTTTGTATTTGACACAATCCTTTGCATTTACCTATCCATCCCATATAAGTTGTCCCTAGTCCATACCCCACAGGGCAGCAGCAGTGTTCACATGACTTTCTACATTTAGACACAGGTGAGGAAACACCCTGAGACATCTTGTGTTTTTTCTATAAAAGAAAAAAAAAGAAATCCACATTCTGTTTGGTGTGTCTTGTTGTGGTACACTGCTGCTGCCCTGGGTGTATGCAACACAAGAAAAACCCCAAAACACACTCTGGACTTCACAGAACTTGGACTGAGGGTTAGAAAAGGGAAAACCTTGTTAGAAAATTATCTTGAAGGGAGGTGGGTAAACAGGCACAGCCCAGAGGGTCTGATCTTCTCTCACTCCTTTTGCCCAAATAGGAGCTGCCAGAAGGCCACTGACATGACAACACATCTTGCTCAAAGGGATTATACTCTGTGGAAGTGACAGCTCTGTTCAAGCTCCCCTGAAGAGAAGAGTCTTAAGCAGCCACCCATTGCCTCTTTTTAAAACATGTTTTTGAGCACTCCTGTGTGAGGATGAGAAAACAGTGAGTGTTCCCGTGTGGAGGATACAAGGCATAAACAGAGGTGAATGATTCAGATATTGTGGCAAAACCAAAGGAATTTGAGTCATTGCTGTGATAAAAGGATGAAATTCAAGTTTACTCTATAGTTACTGTCAAGATGCAGCTGGATATGAAGGCTTTGCTTGTGTGCATGTCAAGACCACTTAGTCATTGACTGCCTGGTCCATGAGCTCTCCAGCTAATCACTGCATGGCTGAGACAATAGATTAATACGTAAAGAAGTAATGCACTGAAATTTAAGGTAGCTTGGCAGCGAGGAGATCAACTAATCTGCCAGCCACTTCACAAAAAACCAAGCAATTGGCTGCTACAGGAGCTCTTGCAGCAGCTGGGGACACGCCAGAGGTTTCCCCAGGGAGCTCCTGCTCCAAAGGCTGATAGCTGCTCTCTGTATGTTTAGCTGTACTGCTGAATCACTTGGGGTGAAGGCTGCAGTGCACAGCCAGGGGTTTGCTTCCTCAAGCAGTTCCTGTTGTCAGTTAACAAATTGACCAAACCATGCATAAAATTGCATAGTCAGTGAAAATTATTCCTGCCTGTGCAAGAATAGGCATGTGGGCCTGTCTTTTCGTAGTTGGACTTCTTACATAGTTTAAGATAATCAACAAGAAATGATCACGCATACACTGTAGTGGTCACACAATTCACGTGAATTAACAGTTTGCAGTCCAACTAGCCCTAGATCAAACAAGTTCAAAAGACTTCATACAGACAGACCCCCCGACGTATTAGCAGAACTTTGACTTGTGGATGGCAACATGTGTACTGGGTAACATGAAGGAACACAGGACTATTTTCTTACTGAAATTCTGTGGCAAAACTGAGAGACATATCACAATCTGATCAACCATCTTAATACTCTTTCTGTGGATTCTGACAACCAACAAAAGCTTGCCTTTTAATAGCCAACAAGTGACAAAGAAGTCTCATAGCTGAACTGGGTTTCTCTGACAGTGCACAATCACTCCAAAGTCATCATTCAGTCTCATAGCTGAACTGGGTTTCTCTGGCAGTGCACAATCACTCCAAAGTCATCATTCAATACCTTGGGAAAAACCACAACCCACACGTGGGCCGCATTCACAGAACCAGCTGAGGCCTCCTACTCAGAGGCACATGAGTATACCTTTTGAT